TGAAAATGATTTTATGAATAATGTTAGAGTATGAACTGTTCTAAAATAGATGGATGAAATTTTATATTGTTTAACAACTATCGATGTTTCAAAATAAATGTTTAATCTACAAATTTGATCTTAAAAGCCTATTGTACGTACATTGAGAGTCATATGTGCATTTTGTTTAATGCATATATTGCATTTTTTTATCAGTACTATGTGTACTACCGACACTATGTGTGCAACCCAATGAATTCATAATGAGTTTGTGAATTACCGTATCGACACTATGTGTGCAACCCACAGAATTCATAATGAGTTTGTGAATTACCGTATCAGCACTATGTGTGCAACCCACAAAATTCATAATGATTTTGTGAATTACCGTATCAGAACTATGTGTGCAACCCACGAAATTCATAATGAGTTTATGAATTACCGTATCGACACTATGTGTAAAACCCACGAAATTCATAATGAGTTTGTAAATTACCGTATCAACATTATGTGTGCAATCCACAGAATCATAATGAGTTTATGAATTACCGTATCGGCACTATGTGTGCAACCCATGGAATTCGTAATGAGTTTGTGAATTTCCATATCGACACTTAGGTGCAATTCATGTACCATGCATTCTCATTTAACATACATTGGGAAAATAAAAGAATAATTTAGAAAAATATTGATTGATAAGTATGCTAGGTATACTCTATATTGTTTCGCAGGTTATGTTAAAGCAACTTAGTCTACCAAGTCAGCTTCATGTATTATTATGTTTTATACAATTTAATTCGTATGTTGATATTTTATGATATACTTATGTTTTGATTTCACCTCATTATTATTGTGCCTCACCAAGTGAATACTTGGCGTGTGATGGTTTCACGAGTAGGTATTAGTACGAGCAGAGTAAGGAGTGCAACTGTCATTGTCAATCAAAAGTCATCTCATCGGTAACTGTATGACAACTATATCTACTTTTGATATGATTAGATGGCATGTAATGGAATTATAATAAATGATTTGGAAAGTATTTGACTTATGATTAATATAATATTTAATATGTTAGAATTTTAAGACTATTTTACATACTATAAGTTAATGAACGTTTATTATTACATTAAAATGTTTATATATAGAACAAAATTTTAATGGTTTTCAAAAGCGGAAATGTTTTAAAAGTCATGTGACATATGTGACTTATGTATGGAAATGTATACGGGAAATGTGTGTTATATATATTATATAGTATATATATTATATTTATATATTATTATAGCATATATTATTATAGAATGTATATTATACTATTATTATAGTATTATTATATTATATTATTATTAAGTTATATTTAGTAATATGTTTTTATTATATTTTTAGGGTCCAATTAAGTGGTCCTAACGAGAGTCAAATCCAACAAGGGTATGAGGAAGCCCAACCGAGCAAGCAAGCCTGATTAGGGGAAGGACTAATTCAGCCCAATAGCCTGTCTACCTGACCTAGCAGATTAGGGTTTCAAACTTAGCAAGGGCGCCACACAAATGGCGCATGAGAGCCACACACCAGCATCAATCACAGAAAAATTGGAATAATGTTTTGCTTGAACTCAAACCGGGATGAAATTGGCCGAATTTCTAGCTCAAGAATCAAACGAAGAAAATCTCATCCCTTTCGGGATTGCAACAACCAGAAGTAGCCCTTTTCGAAGGCTATAAAAAGGCCTTCAATAAACACAACGAGGAGGAAACAATCAAGCATCATCGAGTAACAAGCACACAAGAAATCAAGCAAAACAATGAAATCAAACAGCAAGTATATAATGAAAATCCATAAAAAAATCGCAAAAACACAAAGATAAAAGGTTTCGTCACAGGAGAAAATCCAAATGATGTAGAAAAGAAAAAAGATGCTACCGAACTAAGGTAAAACCGAAACTCTAAGTGTAGATCTATGCTTTTAGGGCTCTTGGCTAAATGGTCCGGGCGGCGGGTGGGCGGCGGGGGTTGGCCGACCATTGGCATGATGGGATGAAATGAGGAGAGAATAGAGATAAACTTTTAAAAAAGGGTTTTGGTTTTAAGAATTGTTTTGAAATGAAAAACATTTGGGTTTTAAAGGCTTTATATAGGGGGACCTCTTTGTAATTACAAAAATTTTAAATTATTTTTATAGTCCCTTTACTTTTGATGCATAATTCATTTTGGTCACCTATTGTAATTTTTCCTTTGAATTTTGAATTAATTCCATTTAATCCATGTTTATATTTTTCATATTTTGCAAATCAGCCCCTAACCTTTTTATTTTCTTTCTTGCATCTCACTTTTAGAATCAATTTGACTCTTAAATTTCAATTTAATCCTCTTTAATATTTATATATTTTTTAATTTAACATTTTTTATTTTATTTTACTATTTATTTTAATAATATTTTATATTTTTAATTTAACATTTTTCTTGTTTAACATTAATTTCATATTTTTTAGGCTATTCTAAATTTGTCAAAGTTAAGTAATTAGAATCGAACTTCTAAATTTTAATTCAACTTTTAATTTTTTCAATTAAGACAATCGGGAAATCAAATTGGTACCGAAAGGACAGTACATAGGTGCTAATCCTTCCCTAACTATAATTGACTCCCGAATCCGAAAAATTTTTGGTAAGTTGTAGATCAGATAACGGTAAGTTATGGTATCTGATCGACCAAAATAAAATAATCAGTGGCAATTTCATCGCACCAAATTAAGTCGAAACCCGATTCCGGGACCACTCGAAGGATGGTTACGACAGCTTGGTGACTCTGCTGGGGACAGGTAAGAGAGTCAGTCCAAAACTGATTCCCGATTGTCTTCCAAAGCAAAAGTTGTAAGTTTATATTATAATTTATTTTTTGAACCTTGTTATTTACCTTTGATTATTATTTTTCAAATAAATAGTTGGACTGACGGTTTTTTAATGATTTCATTTTTTTTATAAAAAATCATTCATCTCAGGCTCTATTCTCGAGCTCCAAACCATTTTTAAGTGGAGGCGAGAGCGACACATTTGTGGTAATTTATTCTCCGTATAGGCCTAGCAAGTAACCTTTGAGATTCATATACCTTATGTCTTTGTGTGAATTTATTCTCTGTACTTACATAAGGGAATGTATCCTCTCGAGTTTAACTTGGTCCACATGAGCATGTGATGGGCTTAGGACTAAGGGTCTGGCAGGCCCAAGGGGGCACCAGCAAGGATAACTTGAGTACATCTTTCAGAACCAAACCGTGATACTGCAAAGAATTAGAGCCAACCCAAAACTTCATTCAAAACCTAGGACGCTTGATTTATTTCTTGTCTTATTTTAATGTCCAAAGCATGAGAATTAGAAATACATGTGATTAGGATTTGTTCAAGAAAATAACATGCGAGATAGAGATCATGTCCGGAAGGAACAAAAAGCATGCGAGGTAAGTATCATATGGGGTAGGAATTTCAGTTTTCATTATTATTCTGATTATTATTCCTATTTTACTAACTTTTTTCCTTTCATTTTTTGTTTTATTTTCTTTTTATCATTGGTATCATTTAAAAGTGGCGTTGATCCGCAAAGTGTTTGTTAAACTCAAATAGTTTGCATTAATGGACAAATGGGTTGTAATGAAGAGGTAAAAAATGTAGAAGTACGACTATGGTCACTACAACAAATTTATCAATTTGTGACAAAATTTCTATATGACGTTGCGTATAACGTCACAAAATATCATATAAAATGACATTTTTTTCATTTTGTCATATTTAGTGATTAATGTTATATCTTTTATGACTATTTCAAAAATAGTCATTATATATCTGGCGCTAAAACCTTCCCCCAAATTTTTTGGTGGGAAACCTTTTAATAACATTTAGATAAAATAGTGACGTTTTAAAATTGTCTCCAATATAAAAAAAGTATTAGTGATGTTTTATTATAATAACAATGTGATTTGAATTCACGACGTTGCACATTTGTCACTAATAAATTTTATTCTTGACATTTTGATTCGTCATATTTTATAAAACATTAAAAGTGGTGTTTTATTATTGTCACAAAACTAGATTTAGCATGACAAAATCAACTATTTGTTACTCATTGTTATATCTTTTTTATATAATGATTTTTAAAGACATTGTGAAATTATGTCACTTAATGTATTGCACCAAGAATATTTTATACCTTATTGTGACAGATTGAAATATTTTATACCAAGAGTGACAGTGGTAGAATTCGAACTTAACCTTACAAGCTTAAATTCATGAATCTCAAGCACTTGTACCAACATTATTGGCATCGATCATATTATTTTAAATTTTACAAATTTTCAATAATTTTAAAATAGAATAATAAGAAATAAATATAATTCATATGGTTATTTATAGTACAATCAGTTTAGGGTATTAATATTCTTATGATTACAATAAATTTCTATTATTGTGACAAATTTAATTTTGTCAAAAGTACTTTTGTCACTATTAATTGCTTTTTTGTGAACAAATAGATAAGCGCCACATTAAATTAGAAAAACATATACGGTGGTGATAAAAACAAAACTGTCATAATTAGTAAACTTGTATAACATTTGGTTACAAAATATATTTTGTTTCCATTATTTGACACAAATGTTTCCCTTCAATTTTTTTAGCGTAAAAATTGTATAGTGATAAGTTTTGTAACTATAAATTTTAGTAATTATTAAAGAAAAAATTGTCACGACAAATAATTAGATTCAATTTTTTGTGATAAATTTTATTTTTAGTTATAAATTTTAATTATAGTGACAAAATATATAATCACAAATAATTTATTTATTTTTAGTCTTAAAATTAATCTTTTAGATACTTATTATGGAAAATTTAATTTTTAAATTTATCGTAGGACCACTAAAATCTAAAAATTGGACCTGCCATCCATTTGTGTTACACTTAGCATTCCAAAGTATCCATATATCTATGAAGTTAGGAGCTAATTTAAAAATTCTGGAAAGAAGGGTGGATTGTTAGGTAAATTACCCATTTTTTATAAGTAAAATTCTTGCCTCAACCACCTGCCGCTCCCATTTTTTCGAAACCCTTGATTCCTCAATTAGTTATGGCCGCCATGAATCAACATTCGACCATCCTTTCAGGGGTCAAGTATCTTCGATTCGATTGAGCTCCCTGACGACTAGGACCAACGCTCTTCCGTACCATCTATCTGTCCACTCTATCGTGTATTTTTCCAAGGCCACGTCGTTTGGAGCCTTAAGCATTGTGTTATCATCGCTACCTTATTCCGACCATTTGTCTGATGAATCAAGCATATTTCTTTGGGTAAGACCTCAGTTCTATAATATATTATTTTTGAGTTTCGTCCATCGCCTTATTGCTATGATTAGGAGCCCCTCTGCCCAAATTATTGTGACGTCGTGTTATCATCTTCGTTCTCTGCTACAATGATAATTATTTTCTTAGTTGTATGTGATAGTAATTTCTTTTGTTGTTTTTCCTGGCTACTTTGTTGCACTGTGATTTCCTAATTTTTAACCCAAATCCATTAATCGTGAAAACCCCTCCCCTTTTTCCATATTTCTTAAATTGCAAATTGAATTTTGCAAGGTAGCTTTTGCCTGTTGAAATGTAAGATTGGGAGTGGAGCAATAATAATTAATAATATTATACTTTCACTTTCCATATGGTAATGTTTCATTTAAATTTCGAATATTATTATTACTTTTAATAATTATAACAATAAGAATATGGTAACATGTCACTTTTAATTCAAATCAATTCGACGGTATCCAGATTATATTCTTATTTGTACATAACCTTGTGACTTAATCCGTAATGCCTTGACTTGAAACCTGACTTGTTTAAACGACTAATTTATTGTTAGGCCCGATAACTTTTTGTTGACATTGATGAGATAAGCTGACATTTTACACTGATTTATTTGACTCAACCTAGTTATTAATACATTATTTTTATATTTTTGAGGTGGTCTCGAACTGTAAATGTTAAATCTGAATCAGCTATTGATTAACTAAGATTATTGTTCTCGATTCATGAATCTGGCTTAACATTTTAAAATCTGTACACGCTTATTAATTTGTGTCTCATATTTGTGCTAAACTTATTTGTGTACTATGTACGATGATTGTTGTATGTCACTGCTTGTACTGTTAATATGTAATTATGATTGTTCTGATATAATAACACTGTATGTCTGATTGAGTTGTATGAATGATGAGCATATTTGCTTAAATTGTATGTATGACTGAAATGCATGTTTAATCCGTACCATTTGTAAGTGTTTATGGTTGACCACATATATGTTCCATTTGCACAATTGATAAGGTTATTCGTTCAACATGTATTACTTCACATCCTTTTGTATAGCACATGGATATCTTGATAAAATTGGTATAATTTGGAACATGTATGTATGACATTTTGTATTCTGCACTAGGATTTGTTTAAACTGAGAAAGTTACTGTTTTAGCTTGTTTCCTCTGTTTTAGTTTGTTTCATCTGTTTCATACATTGTTCCTCAAAATTTTGTAAAAACACTGATATGTATATGGAAGTCCAAATTTAAAAAAATGTTTGTTTGCCTCAATAGTAACATGTGCATCGAAACAGGAAGTCAATAATAATACTGCTTGTGAACCCATGGGGTTGTATAGAGAATGGGTTAAAATCAAAGCAATTTTTAGTGGTGAAGAACACAAAGAGGATGCCAAATGTTAGCTTCCTTAAATTGATTCCTTGGTTAAATTGAATTATCATATGGTTTTAGGGGTGAAATAAACTTAATAAATCCGTTAAATTCCTTGGTTAAATTGAATTATCATATGGCTTTTGGTGTGCTGCTCCATTAGGAGCTTGAATTCGAAAAGAGGGAATTGTTCATTCTCTCATGTATTTATTGCTTTAATTCTGTTTTTGTGTGTATGCTACTGAAATATTAACTTGGTAGGGAATTGGATTATCTTAAAGTTATGTACTCTCATTTTGTTGTTTTGATGGTTAGAAATATTATGGCTTTTGCTTGTTAAATTGAATTACATATGGTTTTAGGGTTGGGATAAGCTTAATAAAAGTGTTAAAATTTTTGTTTCTAGCTTTTGTTGTGTTGCCTAATTGTGGGACAATTGTTGTGCATGCACTGTTGTAAGATACAATTGTTTAATTTATTTAAGAATCTTATAATATTCGTTTAGTGATCCTTAATATCAGGTACGATTACAACATTTTGATTTATGTGATTCATATTTTTTTTAATAAATTATAAATTATGTTTATACATGTTTATAATTGAAGAGGAGGTGTGAAACAAAGGCAAGAGTCAGAATAAATGTCAAGTTAACTCTTAATCAAGGATCTCGGGCTTTTGTCGCTAGTCGATATGCTATGGTAAGTTGGACACTTTTAATATTTATTATGAATTTTATTTTTATTTTAAAATCTAATTTTATTTTTCAAATCATATAGCGCAAGGATGATGAAGAACCAAATAGGATGGATTTCTTCAAGGCAACTCATTATTCAAATGACAGAGGATGGACAACATCTGAGGCACAAGCAAAATATGTAAGACCTCACAAAATTTAAGTATTAAATTATAATTTTTGATCTAAGGATTATTTTATTTATGAATGACTTTTTTAAGAGAAAATGGAGTTGCAATCAACTCCAGTTGAAGAAGAGGCAAAGCCCAAGAATATTGATGATATAGTGGATGACGTACTTGGTACGAGACCAGGATACATTCTGGGGCTTGGATATGGCCAAAGCCTAAGAAAACAAATTCAAGTGTAGATACAATCAAGTTAAAAAAGCGTTTGAAGAATAAAGAAGACGAGCTTAATGACTGTAAGTCGAATATTGAATTGATTTAAACTCAAATGGAAGCTATGATATATGCTTTGTTAGCTGCTGGAATTCAAGTGACATGGCTTCAATTTTCAGGCAAACAAATATAGTAAATCAAATAAAAATTATTATATAATATTAATTGTAGTAACGAATGTTGATTATTTTAATTTGTAGCTTTAAGTGATACCACGAACTCAGAATCAACAGAATCACAATTGACACAAGGTTCGGATTGAGATTCCTACAACAAACTATGCCACTAGTTATATTATTGTCATTTTTTTTATTTTCTATAAACATTTAAACCTTTTTATATTTATATAAATGAAATTATTATGTATTTAGTGAAATATTTGTTTAAATCTTATTATTTTGCAATAAGTGAACTATTTTATTTTTTTATTTAGATTTGTATAAATAATTTTATTTTAATATATAATATCATTAAAAATGTGACACTTTTTGGTTTTGCCACTATATTGGTAACATTATTTATGGTGATGTTATGCATAATCATCATTCATAATATTATTAGGTAACGATATATTATGTCACTAAAAATGTGACTATCTCATTTGTCACATATAAGTTGATTTTAATGTATTATTTGTGATAATATAAATTATCAGTAATGAAATATTATTCAATTTAGTGATGTAACTAACAGTCATAGAATATAAATTATAAAGTGACGTTATGCATAAACGTCATTCATAATATTATTCGGTAACATTTATATTATGTCATTAAAAATGTGACAATATCTCTTTCTTCATAGTTCACATATAGCTTGATTTTAATGTATTATATGTGATGATATAAATCATCAATAACATAATTTTACATAATTTAGTGACAAAATTAGTCGTCATTGAATATCAATTATATAGTGATGTTATATATAAATGTCATCCATGCTTCTATTAGGTGACGATATACTACGTCACTAACAATGTAACAATTTTATTTTTGTCAAGTATACAATGAAATTATTGTGTTATTGGTGATGATATAATTTATTAATGAAAAAAATGTACATCATTTGGTGACAAAAGCAATTGTCACTGAATGCAAATTAAACGGTGACGTTATCAATTAACGTCACTATATGTTTAACAATACATGACGATAACATATACATTGTCACTTTTGACATTTAGTGACACACCTAGAGTGACGATCATCGTGACATCAAAATTTACGTCACAAAATACATCTAGTGACGTAAATTGAAGTTTTAGTGAAAATAACCTAGATGACACTAATAAGAAAATTTGTTGTAGTGCCAAAAAAGACTCAGAAGGAAAAGGGAGATAACCTGCAAGATAATTATGTATCAGACCTGGCTGGCTATGCCTCAATCAGCCTCAAACATAATGATATCAAGGAGTTGCTGAACATTTAGAACAGTTGGAGGAATGACAGGAAATAGAGGTTTTGCCAGCAACATGGTGATATTGCACACCTGATCTATGTCAAGATAGAAGAACATCTAATTTGGGCCCTGGTGCAATTTTGGAATCCGGGGTACAACTGCTTTACATTCAACCAAGAAGACATGGTGCCCATAATTGAGTAGTACAATACCTTGTTACATTACGAAGGAATCATAATGGACCGGGTCTTCATAAAAAAATAACCTTTCATGAATAGACTAATAAAGGTTGCAGGGATTGATGAAAAATGGGTAACCGACCAGATTCAACACAAGGGTAAAGGAGAAGGAATTGCTTGGGCTCACATCAAGCAATTAATGAAGAATCATCCCGACGAATGGAAGGTAATTGATCTCTTTGCACTGGGTATCTATGGCCTGGTTATATTTCCTCAAACCCTAATACATTAAAGCAGTTATGGTGGAATTATTCGAGTAGTTGCCTAAGAGAGTGAACCCTACACCAACAATCCTAGCTGAGACATTCCATTCATTAAACCACTGTAGAAGGACTGGTGGAGGATGTTTTATAGGATGCACACAACTACTTCAGGTTTGGATTCATAGTCATTTTTGGAAAACTGATGGGTTTCTTACTTTCGGTTCAATACGACATACTCTCATTTGGAGGAATTCATCACACAACAATGGCGAGAAGACGTTCCAAGGGAAAAATGGGCAAAGGTATTTATGCATCTCCAAGACAAAGACATAGTATGGAGAGCCCCTTGGCTGACTCATAGTGATATTCTTTATCGATGTAGAGATTCAGGAGTAGTAATGTTACTTGGGCTGTGCAGAGGAGTTGGCTATTCTCTGTTTTTAGCACTTCGACAGTATGAGGCATGTTAGTTTGTCCCAGTCACACATGAGATATTTGGATCCGAGTTCGCATATCATGAGGATAATTACAAGAAGCAAATCAAATATATAACCTAGTCATGGAAGAAGATATTCCGTATAGATGTTGTGGCTGTCAAAGACATACTTACTCCAGACTATATGGAATATAGGAAGTTGAGGAAGAATGATATTATTACCTTTCCAGACCATGAAGACACTCGAATCATTGAAGAGCATCTTAAACCAGTTCCCTCTCAGCTAGAGATAGAAAAGAAGGAATTTGAAACTGAAAAAGAGGAACTGAAGAAAACATTGAGAGAGTTAGAAGCTGAAAAGTTCTAATGGAAGCTGGACACCAATACTCAAAAAGATCGAGAAGATAAATTGGAAAAGGAATAGAAGAAAGTCTTCTACGAGTTGGAAGATCTGAGAAAAGGGTATCAAGAACAGGTCCAGAGAAATCCCAGTTTTAAGAGATCTTTAGAGTATTAGAGAGATGAAGTTAGCAACTTTGAGAGGAAAATGAAATGGAAGCGTTGAAAAATCAATTAAGGGCTTCTTAGAAAGAATTATCAGAAAGCCAACACTAGAACAAGCGACTAAAGACCAAGGTAATTGATCTGGAGAGGTCTAATCCAAGGCAACAGGAACAAGACAATAAAGTTATGAATGAGCATATAGCCGAACTGGAGAGTATTACGGACAAGTACAAAAAGCATGTGATCGCTTGTAAATGCATATGCTAAGGCAAGCAATTATGTGCAAGTATACACAATCGAATCAAGTAATATAGGGTAAGTGAGTATCGTCTCCTTAGAGATTGGTCGAAAGTTTTTAATCTCCACCACAACCAGAACTACTTGTCACAAGCTAATTCCTACTATCTTGTCAAACTAGAAAACTATTATTAATAAAACAAGAAAACACTATAAAGTATGATTGCAGAAAAGTTTGGTCGAGACAAAATAAACATGCAGACAATTAAAATAAAATAAAATAAAAAGACAAACGTTGATTTAAATATAATTCAAATAACCTCGCATATTCAGACCTACCACAGAGCACTTGTATTAATCTTTTGTGTTGTCAAACAATTATTCGAAGTTCAGAATGAATTATTATGACATGCTTAAGCTGCTCGACAGGATTACTAAGTATTATTAGACGGTTGCTATGACAATACTACTCAACGTTAACTACAACCCTTGGTTTGTCAGACTGTTGTTATAGCAATACCTCTTAGCGTAAACTATAGTCATTATCTATCCTACTTAAGCATCCATCCCTTTTAGTCGATTGAAACAAGCTCCTTATCTCTAAGGTAGACAAGTTAGAACATCACCATTTCGAATCCACTCTATTGTTCACGTAGATCTATCTTAATTCTCTCGAATCTAAGAATCACTATATAGAAAAAAGGCAATCTCTCGAAGCTCCTACATTGCCAAGACATGTTTTACCAAGACCCCAGGCTATCTCTCGAAGCTCTTACAGTGTCAAGGTAAAATATTCACACAATGAACAAAATAGTCATGAGCAAAATCATAATTCATTATTCATAAAGCAGAAAATAATTGTCTAGATAAAACAAAGACTAACACCAAGTAAGACAGTCATGGTGCTATCAAAAAGTCATCCAAGTATCATCGTTTAATACAACCCAAATACGTAAAGAAATTAAAAACAAAGGAAGAATGACTCCCAAAACTAGGGGCTCTGTCGTGACAATTCTGATCAGCACCGCGCCTGCCTTGGTGATCAGCTTCTCTTGAGACCTGATCACTGCTATGCTATAGTCTGGCTATGGAGGACACCAAGGAAGGTCGGTTGGTAAACGGTGGGGAAGCACTGTAGTTGCTTGCTCACACTTTCAGTAAAGCTCTCTAACTTTCTTCTTCTCTTTTGGCGGCTACAGTTGGATATTTATAGAGGGGAATCTCCTAGGGTTTCGTTAAGTGGAGATTCCTTAAATAACCGTTATTGTTTTGCCCAGACTAAAAAGGAAAGGCGGCTGACGGCTGTCATAATTTTGAGGGCTTGCTTGCACGTGAAGGAAGTTATCCAGCTGGCTTGTGACATAGGCAATTTCATCATATCAGCTTCAGACTTTCCAGATAAACCTTTCCTTGGCGAGATAAATATGCTCCTCACGTTCTTTAACTTCTCTATTCCATTGGTCCTCACAAATTACGTTGTCGCGACTGAAATGTTATTCCTCTATAAATTTCCTGCACATACACAATCCACACAAACCCTTTCTCCTCAACAGCATCAGGTAAACCAAATAAATCTTCCCGAAGTAAAACTTATCCACACAAGCAAATATAACCTAAATGCAACTAAAATGATGTGCATAATTTGTTTAGACAAGCAATAACTTAAGTGAATAGACTAGAAATTGAGTTTTTTTACGGAGTTATCACATCCCCAAACTTAAGCTATTACTTATCCTCAAGCAATGTACAATAGCTAAAAGAAAATTAATTTTTTTAGCAAAGCAGTGTTAAGAAAATCATATGGTTTGAGATTTCAGCCCTCAGCAAAATTTTTTTGTTTATAATCCTAGTTATTTATCAATTTTTTTGGGGAGTCAACTCATCACACCTACCTTCCCACACTCTATGTGAAAGGGAGCATACCTTTCACCCCAAGCTAGTCGGGTAGAGTCATCCTGTGACTACTTTCATTCACTCATATGCCTCTACAACTCTCAATTTCTTATGGAGTTTTTCTGTTTATGCCCTTGCATAGAGGAGTGTCCCTTTTATTTTTCAAGTTTTAAACATTAGGGAGTTCTACCTTAACCTTAAAATATTTTCGATGCCTCGACAAGAAGAAAGGTTTTTCCTAAAAAATTTATTGATTACCTTAAGCAGAGGCAGCCTA